TTCACAAATGCATTATTAGCCATTCAGAAATACACATTTGAGTTCTGATACTTGTATTGATCTGCCAGGGGACTGCTTTTACAAGTTATTTTGACATCATACCTGGAAATTTCTGTTTCAGAGAAAAGTGTTACTTTGCATTTAGTCCTACCATTTGGCTGTCATGGAATTTAACTGGTGAGAAATCATTGTGATAAATATATACGTGTATTATTTTTGAGCTTTAATAGTCCACTGAGTTTTGAACAGAACATAAAGAAATTATAATGTTATTTTCCCTCAAAGGGTCAAGTTTTGTTTTTCAAGTTCCCTGTCTTTGGTTATATAGGTTTTTTTTGTCTGAAAGATATTTATGCTGTAAAGTTGCTACAAAAATAGCTTTTAAGAGCACTTTTCCCTTCTGCCTTAGAACATCATACACAATTCTCCAAAGGATGAGGAGTCAGGGCGACCTGCCCCTAGCATCACTTCCTCCCATTTTGGAAGAGTGAAATGGCTGGGTCTCATTGCTGAGAATGGCAGCCACTTTATTGTGCCATTGACGCAGAAAGGGAGACCTCTTTTCTGAAGAACCCTGACTTTGAATCCTGACTATGGGCGGCTCTCATTATCAAATGGGTAGTCAAAACTTAATCAGCCAAAGACTACCGGGAGCAAGCCTGTGGCCTGATAAAATAAAACTTATTGCCTACAAGGCGGGAGGGCACTTCCGGAGGAGTGCCATTAGCAAGGCATGAGGAGCGAGTCATCTTTTGTGATTCGGGCTCCCACTGAAGGATTTTGAAGGTAATCTACGTGAAGGAGAGATCAGCTTTGGATTAGTTTTTCTGAGTTGGGATTCGAAACAGAAGGAATTAACTAGGAACTGGGTGCTGTCATGAGGTGAAGGTGGCTGAGAAATTGGGAATCCCTAGTAATGAATGAAAATAGCAAGCAGCCTGTGGCATCATTGGTCAGTAATCACCCGAAGAGAGGGTCATTGTGGTAACATAGAACTGCTGCATTACCTTGGCGAAAGGGTGTTTTCTATGAACTTTGCAGCTGGCTTCATCTGTGTGTATTCTCCCAGCCCAAGATCAGTGGCAAGGCTTTTTTTTCTTTTCTCTTTTCAGTCCAAGCCATTGTCATTCTTCCTGTTCCAAATAGATTTTAACTCTTTAGGGTGCTGGACTCTAAACTCACCTGGTCATTCACCTGGATACAGCGAGGGCAGTAGCATCATCAGACAGAGTGGAAGGCATTTGGAAAGGTTATTAATGCCCTGAATTGGAACCTGTAGGTGAAGCCATGTGACTTGGTCTCAGCTTTTTAGGGTTGCGACTGCCCTCACTGTCTTTCTATATTAGATTACCCTGCTCCAAAAGCGTAATGGCTCCTCATTGAAAATAGCATTGTATTTGAAGCTCACCTGATTGGATTCTGTTCTACCTTTCCATGCCCTTCTCTATCTTTCCATGTAATCTGCATTTGGGGCACCCTCGATGGACCATTGTACTTTCACGCCTCCATGCTTTTGCTTACACTATCCCTCATCGTAGAGGGATCCTTTGTCCTCTCACAATGCTATTGTCACTTGCCTGATGCAAGAACTTTCCTCCATGAAGCCACTCTTAAATCACCTGCTAATCCCACTAGCTGCTTCTTTAGCACCCCATAGCACTTTGCTTGTCCCTCTGTGTGGCACTGCTTTTGTCCTGTCTCCTAAGTGCACAGTGGGTTTTTAGAGTTATCCTTGACATTTAGGGGGAAAAAAGAAGTTTCTTTTACCTGCTCTCCACATCCTAGGGCAAGTTCTTAACCTGATGTTCATGACTTCTTTGTGGTCTCTGCAGATGTGGGAAGATGGAACATTTTGTGGAGCTTCACATATATGTACAAATTTCTATAGCTGTGTGTGTGTGCATGTGTTTGTTGTGTTAAGAAAAGGTTCCACAGCCTTCATCAGATGCTAAGAGAGATGTGTAACCCAAAAGGGGCTAAGGACCACTATCATAATATGAGACTGTGGAGGGATGGGCACCCTGCCACTCAAACAGATGGAGGGGATGACTGTAAGCAACCAAGAAATCATGAATGTGCATCAGATGTGGGTGCGTAGGGCATGGGACCCAGATGGGCAGGTGGAGAACGCCATCCGCCCAAGGCTGCCAAGGGCTGTTGGCCAGCACTGATTAAACTCTGGACTGTACTTACACTCACGTTTGGAAATTGTGGTGAAATCCAGTCCTCCTCAGCCACGGCACAGAGCACAGTCGTTGGCTGAGTTTATCCACATAAATGCCCTTTGTCGAGAAGCTAAGTTGGCAGTGGCAGCAATGCTACTTGTCCTTGTCTATTGTTTCAATTCCCAGATAAATATTAGTTTGATTAATAATCATGTTTCCATCAGTCACAGGCGCCATGAAGTAGACTAGAATTCTGGAGGGAAAAAAATAGTGCATGACATATGTCTTCTCTCCATCTCACAGTAAATAGAAGAGCTCCCCAAAAGATTACATGATGCTATATCTCCCTTCTTCTCTCATTATGACCAGGTGTCTACATCTATGAGTGGCAATACAATATAGTCATGTTTATCATAAATGATAGAACTAGAGGACTTGACCTTCTGTATAAGGAATTGATAGAGACAGAGCCTTGATTATACTTCTTAACTCCCCATGCCAATAAAGGTCATGATTTTCAGGATGTTTTTCTTGCTACCTCGCTCTTTCCATGCCTTTTCAAGAAAGTTCTCTGTGGTATTGATTTGGCTGAAAAGTGACAAGTTAACTCATGAAGAAAAGGCATGAAAAATATGTATACTTTCAACTGTCCTGTGCATTCACATGCCTGTCCACTAATTCTCATTTTGGCACCTGTTGAGATCATTGGCCACACATTACTGTCTGTCACAAGGGTTGGCTAAGGGAGCAATATTGTGCTACTCAGTTACCTGACTATAGGAGGTAAAACTCCATATATTTCCCTTTCCCCTAAAGTGACTAGTTATCTGTAGTATTTCTTTATTTTTAAACAAACATCCTACTATGTAAATAGCGTTATGAAAATAGAGATAATTCTTCCAAAAGCAATTGCCACAGCTTTCCAACTAATTATGCATGAACTGAGCAGGTTATGTCTTAATCTGAAAGGCAATAAAACTTGCCTGTAGCAAAATCAAACCCTGCCACTGAGTTCCTTTGGGGGTAGAGACAATATTCTAGGTCCGTGGTTGGCAAACTGCAGCTCGCGAACCACATGTGGCTCTTTGGCCCCTTGAGTGTGGCTCTTCCTAAGCCTTAGGAGTACCCTAATTAAGTTAATAACAATGTACCTACCTATATAGTTTAAGTTTAAAAAATTTGGCTCTCAAAAGAAATTTCAATCGTTGTACTGTCGATATTTGGCTCTGCTGACGAATGAGTTTGCCGACCACTGAAGGTTAATAATTCTAAAACTTGAGTGAACATCGGAATCACTTGGAAGCCTTATTAAAACTCTGATAGCTGGGCTTACCCCCAAGTTTCTAATGCAATAGATGTGGGATGGAGCTGGAGAATATGAAACTTCTCACAAATTCGCAGGTGATGTTTACGTTGCTGATGTGGGGATCACACTTTGATAACCACTGACTAGGTCTTTCAGGTCCCAAGGTGTTTGTAACCCATCCAGAAACTAGACCATAACACATTTAAAAATGCAAAGCAACACAAGGTAACATAAGGGCCCCAAATAAGCTACAGTGTGTATGATATAAGTGTAGTGGTGAGAGAGAACTCTGGGCTCGCAGGATTTGAGCTAACTCCCAAGTTTGGATAGAATTAAGATAATCAGAATGTAAGATGGATAGCATTCTCGATGGGTAAATGAACCAAGTCAGTAGTAAGAGCTAGAACTGGAGAGGTAGGTAGGGACCCATTAGTGAAGGGCTTGTGAGGACATCCCAGCCTTGTAAGGAGTTCAGGTTTTATGCAGCAGGTAATATTTCTCCCATTCATATGTTATCTCCGCTGGCATGCCGACAAAAAATATTTAGCTCCGGATTATTGCAAATATTTAACCTTCCCAAAGTACTGCTCAGTTGAGCTGAGGGAAGAGAGGGGAGGTTTCAGTGTATCCCTGGTGTTTGATAAGATACCAATTTAGATTGGGAGGTGGATTATTTGCTGTTGAGTCCATTTATTTTTCCTAGGCTGCAGGATGGGAAAGCCGGCAACTTTTGGATGTATCCTGAAATCTGAAGTAAAATTTGTTTGGGTCTCAATTTAGGCCGCTGAGAGCAATAGGAAAAATCTTGGACGGGTGGGGCAACATTGGCTCTGGTGCCACCGAGGGTCCGCAGTGGGCAAGACCTTTAACTGGAGTCCAGTGCTTTTCTGTCTTCAAGGTGCACGCGGAGTAACGGCCAGGAGACGGTGTTAAAATGCAGACGCGATTCAGCAGGCCTGAGGCTGCAGAGCTAAGTTCCCGCAGGATGCTGATGCTGCGGACTGCATGCACCCTGAAGCAAGAGGTTGCAGGGCCTTCCGAGCGCCTTCAAGGGACAGGGGCCGGTTGAGCATCTCCCCTAAAGGAAAAGGGTACATGCCATCCTTAAAGGAAGGCTCTCTCCCGTCCCCCTGGGTGTGGGGACCAAGCGGAAGGCGGCCTGGGCAGAGCGGGGAAGGTGGCATCGGGGGAGGGCAGAGCGCCCAGGTGTGTCCAGGTGGTGGGAAGTCCGGCCGGCTCGCAGCCTGGGTCCGGGCGCCCGCGA